CGTATACGTTATTGTGAACACATTAACCAATGATAGTTGTAACAAAATCGGTAAAATCGGGACTTCTTTTTTTTGTTTTACAAAGGGAATTAATTAATTGTTTTAATTTAAGTTCTTTTAGCGTGATTACGAAAACTAACGTGACCGCAAATGAATTTTTTTCGCGGTCACGCTAGTTTTCGTGATCACGCTAAAAAGGCTAAATTGACAATTCATTATATTTTATTGTAAAACAAAAAGGAAGTCCCGACTTTGCCAGTCTTACAGTCCCTCTATTGTAGGTTGTGTGAAAAAAGCACATGTGCGGCGCGACGAACACCAGACTGTGATGTTGAAACTGCTACGACGGGAAATGTGTTCCTATGTACCTATATCCCATAATAGAATGCGAAAATGACGTCATTGTAAAAATGCCCTCTCTAAGATTCTTCACCCGCTCCCTAGCCAAACTTTAGTATCGATCCTACCTTGTAGACATTCTCCGTCTTCAAGCGTGACGTCATCCAATGATATATCTCCCTGTACAATGCCATGAATTGCTTCAAATATCACATTAACCGTGGCATTGACCGACACAGACAGAGTAATCTGAGCCTTCTTCCATTCATTGCCTTGTGTGCCTCGTCTTGTCCACAATACTTCACCTAAATCATTGGTGACACCCAAGTACACATTCAGTCTTTCTATGTGGGCACCATGCATGTGGTACCTATAATGTAATGAATACAATAGATATGCACGAATGAAAATATTCTAAATATTTATTTTATTTGAGAAAGTTTGACTGTTACCTTTGAAAAATGAACAAGTTGTATACATCCTTCCTAAGTCACGCCCTCTAGCAATGATAACTGCGTCACTAGAGGGCGTGCTTTATAGAAATGACGTATTATATATCCATTGTCGGTCCAAATAATTTCAGGATGAGTAATGAAACTTAAAGGGCGGTAGTCGTCACGCCACGCATGGGCGAGATAAATGGGTCTCATATAACAGATGGCGACTTCATTAATTTTGCGCAGATCAATGAGTAAAAACTGGGACGTTATCAAGTTTTAATTGTTGTATTTTTTAGGTGATTGGAAGGTATGATTGAAGGAGTAATCGGCTGTAATTGGTGCAAGTCCCACCCAGGCCAAACTTCATATTAGAAGAGCGCATTTGATTGTAGGAAAATCAATGTTTATCAACACAGGTGTCGCACATGCGCAGGGCGACGACTACGGCCCTTTATCTTCGATTTCTCTCTGTGCTTAAATATTTACTCACCAGAAGATTAGGCACTTAGGCTGGTCAGCCATGAAATCTACATCAGGACTGATGAACCTGGCTTTCTCACCTCTTTCACCGGATAATGTATTGTCAATGTAAACAAACCAACCATTTGCTGACAAAAAATAAGCGAATAATTATTACAGTGTATTTATATAATTAAAATATCATATTAGATTAATTGTTTTGTTACAAATTGTTGAGACTGCGCCTGTATTCAGTATGACCACTGGTTTTGAGAAATCACTGTCAAAAACAGAAGTACCAAGGTAATTTGAAAAATGTTTTACTGTAATGGTTCGATTTTACCTCCAATTGTGTGGTCTCCATTTGGTCCAGTGTGTGGTGTCCCAGTGTTACTTTGTTGTCGAATCCAGTCAAAGTCATCGTCACTGGCATCAGTCCATCCACACTTGTCATCTTCAAATGTACAACTCTGGCCTTCAATACCTTAGAAAATAAACACATTGATTTATAAACAGATTAGACTAGAATAAGCATTATAAATCAGTATAACATTCTAATATTAATTGTTCAAAACAAATATTTCCAAGAATTCTGAGTAATAAACTAAGTTCAAGTACAAATAGGTTTCATGTGTTTGTGTTTAAAAAAAATGTGTGTAATGTTCTCATTACAGTTTCTTCTATTGAAACATTGTGTATTGTGTTTATAGTGTGATATTGAAAAATTCGCTTTATTTTTCAGTTAGTAAACGCCTTCTTACAAAGATTTGTAAAATAAAGTTTGTAAATGTTTTTAATTTTTTGCTCATTTTTCCATTATAATGTACAATAGACCATTTTTCGTTCACTGCGAGAATCACGCGTTA